TTTGGATTCATTCCAGTGTTGGTAATGTCAATGCTTCTTAGACCAAGTTTATCAGGGATTTTTCTGTTTACACCAGATGTAGCAGTAACTTCGTCATTTCTTCTATTTCGGTTTTAAAAAATATGATCATTTATTTCCCTATCTATTGGCTTAATCTCATTTTCACTTATTTTCACTTTTGCTTTGACATCTTATGGCAATATGACTGAAGTTGTTTCTATTTCCTTTATAGTGAACTCTTTGTTGTTATTTTTTTTTGAGACAGAGTCTCACTCTGTCACTCAGGCTGGAGTGCAGTGGTGCAATCTCAGCTCACTGCAAGCTCTGTCTCCTGGGTTCATGCCATTTTCCTGCCTTGGCCTCCCGAGCAGCTGGGATTACAGGCACCCGCCGCCATGCCCAGCTAATTTTTTTTTGGTAGAGACGGGGTTTCAACGTGTTAGCCAGGATGGTCTCGATCTCCTGACCTCGTGATCTGCCCACCTTGGCCTCCCAAAATGCTGGGATTACAGGCGTGAGCCACCCTGCCCGGCAGTGACCTCTTGTAATAAAACCGCTGGCTTAGAAACTCCAAAAAAGTGTGAATGACTTATTCTGATTCTACTTTAGAAGGAGAAAGAAACAATCACAGACCGAGGACTTTTCTGTGCAAAGGATGGGTGGTTTGATCAAGGAACAGTCCCCCCGGAGGTCAGTCAGGACTTTCTGTGGGAAAACATTTCTACATTCAAGTTCATCCTTGGCATTTTGGGCTCTGCAGGTTAAAGAGAGGGAGACAGAGAAAGGAGTGCTCCAAACCTTCTGACTCCTACCTGGAAGTAGCCAAGCAGAAGCAAAGTTGAATAATAGCCATGACCTCAGGCTCTGAAGCAACAAGTTCCACCTTCAGATGTGTCTGTTAAACTTCACCACCCTGGGTTGCTTGTACCTGTCTTCACTGTTTTCTATCTGAGATATCTTGAGGCATTTTTAAAACACTAAGTTGTTTTGAATAATAATTTAGTCACTCATTTGTATCTCTTCATAGTATTAAGCCTTAGGTTATTATGTGTGTTAACTCCAGTCACTGATCAGATCTCTAAGTCCTGAACTGCCACAGTTCCACCTACTAAACTTACACTTTTCCTCTATGTAGAATGAGGTGACTTGTCCTGGAGAGAGAGGTATTTCAGAAGAATTCCACTGTCAGAAAATATCACCATCAATAATGAAACTATGTGTAAAGTCGTGTCTAATTTATTAACTGTCACAAGTACTCAGATTATAGAAAGAGGGTCTTGATCCAAGCTGACCCTGAAGTGTTATACATTTGGATCAGTTTTCCCTTTCTCAGTAACATTTGCTGAGAATTCTCTAAGAGTAGAAACTCATTGTAGTTCAGTGTTGGGAAGAATAATTGTACCTACTTACAGAGTTGCTATATCACAAGAGAGATGCTTTGTTTGTTTGTGTGGAGAGGCTGGAGGGATTAGGGCAGGAGTTTATTTGATAGGGAGTTTAGTTGTACATTTGTAAGACATCTAATTTTGCTTAAGATACCATTGCAGTAAGAATGGTTTATCTCTATCCTATAGACACTCACACTACACAAAACCACTACCTACTCAGAACAAGTAGCCCTTATGAGGGAATAATTTTTCCTTGATTCACCTGATTGGATTATTTCGAGGTCAAATGAGGTTTTTTGAAAGGCCTTGCTAACCTGTAAGGCATAATAACCTGTACCAGGGTTCTTAAATTTTACCATGCAAAATAATTACTGATGTACCTTTATAAGTGTAGATTCCCAAACCTTTGTCACCCACCCCAATTCAGATTATAATTCATTCATTTTAAGGTGGGCTCCAGAAACCTGCATCTCGATAAGAAGGCTAGGTAATTTTTGTGCAGTTAGTTCAGAAACATACTCTGGAAACACTATGTATTTTTGTTTTGTTGCTTTATTTCTTAGCTGTGTCATCGCAGGCAAAAATAAACCCCAACATTTTTATAGTTAATTAACTTCATAGTCATTTAATTACATTGTAAATTACCCATGCAAAGTTTTAATTCTAGGACTCTTTCTATTTTATGACTTGTGTTACTCATAGTCCCCCATCATAAATTAGTGAGTGCCTGTATTCTTCTAAAAATATTATGTTTCTCACATGGACACAGTGAGGGGAACAACACACACTGGGATCTGTCGGTGGGGAGCGGGGAGGGAGAGCATCAGGATTAATTGCTAATGCATGCAGGGCTTAATACCTAGGTGATGGGGTTGATAGGTGCATGGTACACATTTACTTATGTTGCAAACCTGCACGTCCTGCACATGGATCCCAGAACTTAAAATAAAATAAAATAAAATTTAAAATAAAAAAGTTATGTTTGTAAGACTATACATGCCTCAGATTTTGAGAATTGTTTATATTTCTTTGTTACAAAGCCTTTTTGCATATATCCAAAGCCTCACTGTTCTAAACAGAGTGTATCCATACCTCAGTGCTGCTTCAATGATGTAGATTATTGAAAACTGATTTTTTTTTTTTCTTTTTTTGAGATGGAATCTTACTCTGTCGCCCAGAATGGAGTGCAGTGGTGTGATCTCAGCTTACTGCAACCTCTGCCTCCTGGGTTCAAGCAATTCTTCTGCCTCAGTCTCCTGAGTAACTGGGACTACAGGCACATGGCACCACACCCAGTTCATTTTTGTATTTTTAGTAGAGAGGGAGTTTCACCATATTGGCCAGGCTGGTCTCGAACTCCTGACCTCGTGATCTGCCCGCCTCGGCCTCCCAAAGTGCTGGGATTACAGGTGTAAGCCACTGTGCCCGGCCTGAAAACTGATTATTTTAAAACTAAGGTTTGCTTTCTGTGGACTGAACAATTATTAGCATCCTTACATCTCTATCTCATTCATGGTCTTAACCTCTAAGGCACTGGATCAGCACTGGAGCTCCCTGTCCTCCCGCCTTCCTTAAAAACAAAAAAGAAAGGAAAGAAAAGAAGGGATTTTAGTACTGCTTTATAGCGAGTGAAAGTAAACCAAAGGTGCATGCTTGAGAACTGCAGGCTGGAAACTGCAAGTGACAATAATTACCTCACGTTATTCCCACACAGACTTCCTATGACCTGGATGACCTTGGGATCTGAATTCTGTTTAATAGAATTGTCCCTCTTCTGCACCACGGCGTACACTGGCCTGAAGAAGGTGCTGTTTCCCAGGAAAAGCACTTAAATCCCCCCAAGAAATGCATAGGGCCATAGTTTCGAAGAAAAAGTATTGCTAACCAAGTGACTTACTCTGCATATTCTGCCTTTCTCTGGTTGTATTCTTTGAGATTTTTATTTAAGATAACTTTCAGCATATCTTTTTAAAGGTCAGATATGAATGAGAAAACTTTGTTTGACTTGTTAATCTTGTGACAAACAGTTTATATGCAGTGTAGCTTCCTGTCTTTGCTGACTGGTTATTTGAGGGAATTTTCTTCCTGTAAGACTGTGGAGAAGCCTCTAAAAATAAACAGCATGGTTTCTTATTGGTGGGAACATATGTGAGCAGATGTCAGCTGGAAGCAGCATATGGTGGCAACATGATAGCAGTATGTGCTTATAGAATCCCCACTGTTGGGTCTCCGTCTTCCATGCCACACTGGCCAGTCAGAGCCCCATATCTCAGTTCAAGAGTGTTCCACCTAGAAGGTGTAATCCACACATTTGTGAAAAATCTGCCACTGGGATCTTAATAGTGGGCTGAATATTGGACATGGTAAGTTCCAGAGTATGGAAAAAGTCTCTGTTATCCATTTAAAAATTGAGTGATAAGAGGCACACATATAGAAAATTAAAAAAAATAAATAAAAATCAAGAGAAGAGTCCACAAAGCCTTTGTCTTGTGTTGAAAGAAGTTTTCAAGTCAGGTCTGAATAGTGGCAGTGTTACTTCTAGAAGACGTGCCCTATAAAAATGGAAGGTGCAGGGACTCAATGCATGTAAGGAGCCAGGAAAGAATGACATTCATGCCAGGTCCTAAAAAGGCAGTCAGGGCTTCTTTTGTCACACAAGTTTGACAACTGCTCATATTCCTTGACCACCGTTTATTTGTCAGTCTGTTTTAAATATATCATCTCATTTCAAGTTTATAAAAACCCTCAGGGGTAGGGTTCTGTCTGCCTCATCTTACAGACTTCTCCATGGATTCACAGGAAATCAGTGACAGAACAGGGGTTTGAATTCACATCTTCTTCTGCAAAAATTCTATATTTTTATTGACCCTACTACCAATAGAAAAACTTTTGAACACTCAGCAATATTTTCTCTTCAATTTGAGGTATTTTGGGGGGAGAGAGGATGTGCTTTCTTTTCTAAGAATATGGTGGACAAAATACAAATTGGGTTGCTCTTACTTTAGAGAAAGCGAAGTTCAAATTTTCCAGATGTAATAACTATCGTAGAAGATGTGTTTAGTCCACTTCAGAGAGCTCTAGCTTTTTAAACTGTAGGTAAGTAGCCCCAAACCAATATTCACTTGTAGTTTTGACTGACTCAAGAAGGAATTTTCACATGCAGCTTAGAAATGATGACAGGTGGTTTTAAGAACACTGAATCTAGGCCAGCCAAATGAAAACCAAAGTTTTATTCGTAATAGGTAAGCTGTCTTTTGTCAAAGGAGGTCAAAGCCTTTCTTATTCATCTTTAATATAAATCAAGGTATTTATTTTACCGTTTCAGTTGTAAATTGTATGCTGTTATTTTAACATTAGAACATGCTAAAGGGAAAACTGAATTCAGGAGTCTGACTGCTGGTTAAGGGATGCCAGAAGATCTGGGACTAGAATCTGGAATCCTCCTTAGATCTTCAGTGTCTAATCCCCTGGCCCCAGGTAGCAGGGACCTTATATCTGGGGAAATGATAAGAATATTCAATGAGTCCCTCTTCTACTTGAATCTTTGTATAGTTCTGTGACAGGCATCTCTTCAGTAAAATAGCTAATGACTGTGCTTTTTAAAACTCCTAGCTGTCTGCCCAGTTGTTACAACACCCTCTGGCTCAGTGGGCAGCTTGTGCTCCAGACAGTCCCAGGTGCTCTGTGGGTACCTTGGTGAGTACACTTGTCTGCTTTATTCCTCGTTTGACATAGTTATATCAAATCCATCTTTAGTGTTTGTCTTCTGTGGGGAACTTGCCAGAGGCAAGATGAGATTCTGAAATACAGCCTTGTAGTTAAGTGATCACTAAGGTGCCTAGAATTTTTTTTAGTAAGAGTTTACGTGAGAAAAACTGATGAATAACTTTGAAGTAGTACAATGACTATATTTCAGCATGTAAAAGAATGACTTGTGGGGATGAGATCTGTGTTCTAGGGGTCACAGAGTGATTTGTCATACACCTTTCCTGATCCCCATGGAGGCCACTTTCTGGAGGGTTGGACAGCATGACCTGAATGTCAAGAGGATGTTCTTTTTTAATATCTTATTTGTATCCGTGTTCTTGTTCTTGACACGTAGTAGTTGCTCAGTTAATGTTTCTTGTCCTGAACCAAAGTTGAAAGGAGATTTTCTCTCCTTTAAGGTTCTAGAGCAAGCTTGTCCAACTCTCAGCCTGCATGCAGCCCAGGACGGCCTTGAATGCGGCCCAACACAAATTTGTACACTTTCTTAAGAAATTATGGGTTTTTTTTGTTTTGTTTTTTGTTTTTTTTTTTTGCAATTGTTTTAAAGCTTATCAGCTATCATTGGTGTTGGTCTATTTTATGTGTGGCCCAAGACAATTCTTCTTTCTCCAGTGTGGCCCAGGGAAGCCGAAAGATTGGATGCCCCTGCTCTAGAGGGAGACCTGTGGGGGAGTTACGCTGCTGATTATCTGTGGCCTTTGTACTGACATGTCTGGGTTGCATGAGGAAATGGATTGTCGTGGGTAAGGCCCTCAGCTAACGGGACCTGTGAGCTTGCCACTTGCTCAAACCGCTTAACCCTGACCCTCAGAGCAGATGCAAGCTCCCCAGAGCCAGCACCAGGTGTTAGGCTGAGGGGTACAAAAGCCAGAGGTCTTCACCCCTTTCTCATTGGGAACACTGATTAATTCAGCCATTTATTGAATGCTTACTATATACTGGACAATGAGTCCACAGCAAAGAATAGAGCTTGGGCGATCCTGACACTCAAGGAATTCAGTGGCTAAAGTTATCCCTGAACCATGCTCAGGAAAAAAGGAAACAGACTTGCAATCGTGGCATTGGTTCACTGCATATTTTTGAGGCCCTGAGAAGGTTTGGATTATGTTGATTCTAAATGTGGGTGGAGGTCCCGGCTAGAGACAAAAGAAATGTTTTTATTATCCTAGGAAAAGCCTAGGTCACTGGATACCCTATTCTGCAATGTATCATGCCTACACATTGTTGCTTAGAAATCAGTATAGTTTATTTACAGTGGCCTAAGCTGGGGTTTCTTCAAAAAGAATTCATTCTGTTGAGAATATACATTGATTTTAGTACAGAAAGCCTCAAAGTGGCTAGAAGCTGCAATGTGAATAAAAAGAGTGAAAAGTTTAATCATGCCTTTAAAGCTCCCTTTTGTGAGTCATTATGTTTTGTTTTTATACTCTAAATTCTAATTTTATTTCACTAGCTAAACCAAGGAGTTAAACATCTGACTCCCCTCTCCGACCCCCCCTCCCCCGGCTATTTGGAAAGGAAAACGGGAGGGAATGAGAGAAGGAAAACATTTGTTGAATACCCACTATGTCCCTGGTACTTAAGATACATCATCCTAATTTTCCCCACATTGGTTGGTCAGGGAGGGCCGGAATGACGATCCCCATTTTTTAGGAAATTGTGGTTTGGAGAGGTAAACACCTTGTCTTTGGTCACAGAGCTGGCTAGTGACAGAGCCAAAATCTGAATTCAGGTCTGGCCTGGATGCCACCATACCACAGAGACCCCAGACTTTTCCCCCTTTCTTTGGCTTTTCCTTTGGAATCCTGTCCTGTTAATTTTGTAACTTTCTTGCCTACTACTTGGGACTAATTTCCTTTTCATCTTTTCCTCCCATAGTAAACAAAGTGAGAGGCCTACCCTGGTGTTTTGGGCAGTTTTTCTTCTCAGACACTCCTCACTTGGGGTTATTTTCGGTCACTTAATTTCTGCGAGCTTCTCTCTTCCTTTGGTGAAAAAACATTGGAAACCCACCCTGCTCCTCAGCGAGTCAGGGAAAATCAGGAGTGTCTGAGGGTGTGGAAGGGGAGATGGGGCGCAAGCTCCACATAGATTCCCATACAGTGGGAGGCTTTTCCACTTTGCCCAGCACGCAGGCTCTGGAAGAACCCTGCAGACCCCTTTCAGACCTTCATGCAAGGCTGCTGAGCAGTGGGGCTCTGCATTTTTTTTGTCTCTGTTCTTAGAAATAGTAATTGAGTAAAAATGTAAGTGAGCGTATGCCAGGGGGCAGGCATCCAGGGTCAGGGTGAATTTCTCCATGCTGAGTGTGATTCTGAACACTCGTTAAGTGAAGTTGGCCTGTGCCAAGCAGCTCCAGGGCCATCCCTGTCACCTTGCGTGAACCTCCTCTCCATTCCAAGGAGATGTTGGGAGCGGCTGAAGGGAGCGTGAGGCCTGTGGCGCCTCTTGCTTTTCTCACTCTCTAACCTGGGTGTTGTTGATAACGACGTGTTCTGACACTGACAATTGGACTGGCAGCTCTGATGCTGCATCAGCTTTAAATTAAATACCCTGGAGGAGAAAATAGTCCATGCTCCTCACAGCCCATGTGACTGCAAAATAATTTTTCTCTTTTCAAGCTTATTATCCCCAGTAATATTGGTTAAGATGCGGTTAGCTTGCCTAAAGGTTTTTTCCTATTAAGACATAACAGTAGAGATAAGTTTCTCTATGAAGGAATGGATTAATAGTCATGAAGGCAAATATAATTTTTTTTTAAAAAAGTATTAACTGAGTAAGAGGCTTTTAAGTAACTTGGTTAAGATTTAAAGGTGGTGTTTCTCTCTCTCTCTCTCTCTCTTTTTTAGAGACAGAGACAAGGTCTTTCTGTAGTCCAGGCTGGAGTGTGATAGCACGATCATAGCTCACTGTAACTTCTAACTCCTGGGCTCAAGCAATCCTCCCACCCCAGTCTCCTGAGTAGCTAGGACTACAAGTGTGCACCACCACACTGGCTAATTAAAAGAAAAAAATTTTTTTTTTTTTCAGAGATGGGGTCTTGCTATATTACCTAGGCTGGGCTCAAACTTCTGACCTCATGCAATCCTCCTGCCTCAGCCTTCTCAAGTGCAGGGATTATAAGACATGAGCCACTGTGCCTGACCTGAGGTGGTGTTTCTTAAAGTGTGATCTGCATTTCTGTCTCCTGGGACATCCATTAGATTCCTTGGCCCCATTTCAGAGCTGCCGAGTCAGAATCACTGGGGTGGGTGGAGCTGAGAACTCTGCACATTTTAAACAGGCACTGCAGGTGCTTCTGACCTCACTAAAGTTTGCAGCTGCTCAAGTCAAAGGATGCTCTGATTATGCACATCTGTTTACTCAGTCCTACCACATGGATGGATTCAGATCCAGTGGACTCTCTGTTTGATCAGCTGGTCCTTCAAGTGTGACCCTGAACCTACAGCCCCTGTGGAGTTTTTGCCATGTGCTTTTCATTTTCCCAAATGCATGCAAGTATTGAGGTAGTTATTAATAGTATCACACATACCCTCTGCTCACTGTTCTTCACAGAGGAACGAGTATGCAAGGAAGTAAATTAATCATGTGGGTGGATGTTGGATGCCTAGTTTGGAAGTTATGTATGGGAGTGAATTTCTGCACTCAGATGCCTTCAACTGGGCAACTGTGGAGTGGGGAAGGGACTTTCAAAGCTAGTGTTTAATGCATAAGTGACACATATCATGTATAAGATAATGTGTAATTCCCCAAGGTAGCATTTGGCCAAAGCGCTGCTGACCTCTTGATGGCGTGAATCCTGTTCTGAGACATTCCATGGGGTAAGGACCTAGCAAACAATGGAATGTAAACTTTACTATCTCAGCCAAACTCAGCTTTGGGTAACTGCAGGGTTCTCTTTCCAAACGGTGTTTTGTTCAACCAGAGGCATTACAGCAGGCAAGAATCTTACCAACCTATTAAGAAGCAAAGTTAATGATAAATCACCTGGTATTTTCTTTGTGCAACCCTGTGCTTCCTGGTATTCTGATGTTTTTGAACCACCTAATACTTTGAAGCCAACTGTACAGTATGGATATTCTATAACTACTGTAGATTTTTGGGCTATTGAACTATTTACAGAAATATCCAGTTCTCGTATGTGGTCTGCATCACTAAATAGCCCACATCGCTATTGAAGTGTGAGAAGAATGACATGATAGTATTCATTTTACTTCCCGCATAAGTCTTCAGTTAAAAGAGCTGTACATTAACTACAAATATAGATATAATTTTAAGATAAATGTCAAATGCATATAGAGACCATTGGAAGAGAAAGGTGAAGAGAGGACATTCATTTTATTCTTCTTCTTTTTGAGATGGAGTCTCGCTCCTCACTCTGTCGCCAGGCTAGAAGGCAGTGGCCCATCTCAGCTTACTGCAACCTCCGCCTCCTGGGTTCAAGCAATTCTCCTGCCTCAGCCTCCTGAGTAGCTGGGACTACAGGTGCACGCCACCACGCCCAGCTAATTTTTGTATTTTTAGTAGTGACAGGGTTTCATCATCTTGGCCAGGATGGTATCAATCTCTTGACTTTGTGATCCGCCCGCCTCTGCCTCCCAAAGTGCCGGAATCACAGGCATGAGCCACCGTGCCTGGCCGAAGAGAGGACATTCTTATGATATATTAGTTCATTCAACTGTATTTATTGTATTTTATTTTATTTTGAGATGGAGTTTCACTCTAGTTGCCCAGGCTGGAGTACAGCGGCATGATCTCTGCTCACTACGACCTCCACCACCCGGGTTCAAGCAATTCTCCTGCCTCAACCTCCCGAGTAGCTGGGATTACAGGCACACACCACCACACCTGGCTAATTTTTCTATTTTTAGTAGAGATGGGGTTTCACCGTTGTGGCCCCACTGGTCTCAAACTCCTGAACTCAGGTG